TGAGGATTCTTGCGTCTCTCCCGTTAATCTTTAGTGTTCCTACATTCACAAGCAATGTAAGACACACTCCCCACTTATTAGACTCATTTCTTAGGTAAAAGGGTACCCCGGCTATGGTTTGGATGATCGTCATCTAACGCCCCATCCCGATTCCATCCCGGTTCCCACCCAAAAAAACAACATCGTGCACCAATAAGTGAAAGCCGGCCGCTTTTCGTGAAAGCCGGCCGGTTTTCGTACCTTGGTCTTCGGCTCGGCAAGAAGGGTTACGTAAGCCGGCCGGTTTTTGCCAAAGCCGGCCGGTTTTCGGTCGCCGAAAGAATTCCAAAATTTTTTTTAATTACAAAAGCCGGCCGGTTCTTACGAATGCCGGCCGGTTTTCGTTAGCAGCGCTCCATACCGGAATTCCTGAACACAAGCCGGCCGGTTTTTACGAAACGCGGCCGGTTTTTATACGCCGAATGATTTAACCAAAAATCAAGCACGAAAGCCGGGCGGCTTTCGTCAACGTCGGGCGGCTTATGGTCGCCGTAGGATTTATGTAATAAATCACAGACAAACGTCGGGCGACGTTCGTCAAAGCCGGGCGGCTTTCGCCCCAGGCAGATATCTGTCCACACTTCGAACTTTAAACAGGCGGGTTGGCCATATAACTTATACATCTCAACATTTAAAAGGTTTTCAAGAAATTAACATCACAGGTTCATGAATTTACCCGCAACGGAGTCCGGGTTAGCACGTGCATCGGCCTCCGTAATCGCATAGACCCTCGCTTGGGTCCTCCCTTGATTTACGGACGGTGCATTGCTTGTGCTAGCTCCACCGTGCCCCATACTTGCACTCGGTGCTCCCGTTCGGTTCCTGCTCACCATGGTCCCACTACTCGGTCCGGAACCTGTACCTCGCCCAAGCTGTGGGCAACTCACCTTCATGTGCCCGACCTCCCCGCATTGGTAGCATCTCGGGGGATCGCGACACTTGCCTTGGTGAAGCTTCTTGCAGTTGTTGCACCTTGGTACTCCCGAGTTTTGAGGCCTTGAGCCTTGCCCGCTTGGGCCTTGATTCGCCCTCGATGGTGGTGCAGGGGTCTTGAATGAGCCACCTCCCCCGTGGTTCCCCTTCTTGTTAGAACCTTGGGGGCCATGGTTCTCCCATTTTCTTTTCTTCGCCTCCTCGGCGTCTCTTTTCTTCCTCTCTTCCCACTGTTTCTCGCCCTTCAAGGCTTGGTCTACTACTTGGGCAAAAGTCATGTTAGGCAATTGTGTTGCCCTATCACGTATCTCCAAGTCAAGGGCGTCCCAAAAGTGGTTCACCATTCGGTTCTCGTCACAAGCATACTCCGGTATGTAGTCGGCGAGATCCCGGAACTTGTACTCAAGTTCCTTCACTGTCATGTTTCCCCCTTGGGTTAGGAGGGTGTATTCCCTCACCTTCTTGTTCACTTCGAAATCAGAATAATATTGGGCAAAGAACTCCCGTTGGAAGTCCTCCCAAACGACATCCTCCCCATACTTGGTCTTGGTCCCATCCCACCATTTGGATGCCATCCCCTCAAGCAACCTTACCGCTATTCTCAGTTTAAGGTTGGGCGTGATTTGCATGTCAAGGGCTGCTTCATTCAACCTCTTGATCCATTGGGCGGCAACCGAAATGTCTCCGGTCCCGTCAAAGGGTTTGCACCCCAAGTCTCTTGCTTCTTTGATAAATTTGGAGATCCTTATGGTTGGACCTCCATCATTTCGGCCTCCATGTGGTTCCACATGGACTCTAGATGCATTGTGGCTTCCTCCTCTTGAAGCCATACCCGAAGGTTGCCCCACCCGGCGCCTTCGGCGTTCCCTCCTCTCCTCGCGCTCTCGGTGGTATTGTTGGAGTAGCGCCTCAATTCTTGCCAAGGAGCCATCTTGCTCCTCGTCACTAACATCATCATCATCCCCTTCATAAGGGGTCTCCACCGGCTCGGTTTCCGGCCTATAGGTTGAGTCCTCATAGGACCAATAAGTCTCACTCTCCGTGTCAACGTGGCCGTCGCTCACGGTTTGTTGTTGGCCTCCACGGCCCCTTCCCCTGGACACCCTAGTGGACCCCCGGCTGCCGCGCTCGGATCCCCCCGGTACACGGCCCGTCGGGTTCCTCCTAGTGATTCTTCCAATTGGCTCCATTTCTGAAAGAAGTTTAGAATGAGCCATTAGACTCGTATCAATTGTCAAGTGACGGATAGGTACTTAAAGACATCTCTTGGCTCAAATCACCGCCATACCAATTGTTAAGGGTACCATCTTAACAATTAGAGACTTTGCAACTCAAGTACCAAAAGTTCTATAAGTACAAAACTTTATGCTCATGGTTTGCAAAATCATTTTCAAAAAGGAATTTTGAAGCTTCATTATGAAGTTTACGGACTAAGGCTCTGATACCAACTAAATTGTCACGCCCCGGACCTACCGGACACGTCAACAACCCGCCGTACAGTACGAATAGTCAACCGCAGTCCAACTCATCCATACTATACTAGGCGTCTTGAATATCATTCACAATAGTACATCCATAAACAAACATAATGTAAAATAATCAATTGAAGTCAGCGGAAACGTTTAATACAAGTGTTTATGCCACACTCCGGCAAACATGGGCATACAAGCCCCAATAATCATTCAAAAATATCCATGAGCATTAATTGAAATGTTTTTAAAATAGAGACGGAGGAAGCACGAACCACGTCTTCCTTCCTAGATCTTCCCGAGGCAACGGGCACTGGTAGCAAGCTCTACTCCCTACCTGAAACTGTGAGGTGGCCTCCCCCGTGAAGGGGAGGTCAGTACTTGGAAGCATTTGACAAGTACAATGACAACTATACCAAGTATAATCAATGTTTCAATTTCTAAGACCCTCAAAATAGGGTGATATCATAATATAAATAATAATTTATATTTCCCACTTATTATCTCTATAATAAGTAAATTTATTTATTTGTCGGCACACGGCCCATTTCATATATTTCATTATACCCGTCGTTAGCACGACACCGCCCGTAGGTCTTATCATCCTTTACGAGACTTGTCACCGCTCTCCGAGGCCTCACCGGGTCCCCGGGCCGGAGTCCAACATCCCGCCCCTGAACTCATACCCATCGTCCCGTAGGAAGGTAAGGTCCATTCGGGGTCCTATCTTATGTGTTACCGCTGTCGGGAGCCTCGTAAGGTCTCCGGTTCGGATTCCACCCTAACCCGTGATCACGATGTAAGTCCATGCTATCCAACACCGCTCTCTAGAGTCGGGAAGGGCCATGGTCCTTACTAATTACCAATACTCTATCGGCTAATCCTTAAAGACTACCGAATACACCCGTAGGCCAATCCTATTCCTAGGATCAATTTATTATTCACTTTATCTTGGGTATCCCTTAAGGACTACCCCTAGCATCACTTATCCACCTTAGTATCTCTTAAGACTACTTAAGGCTCAACAATTTACAATCCAAAACCTTGGATCAATTCTAACATATTTCATTCCAAAACCCCGACTAGTATCATTATACTAGTCGGATAAATTCCAACAAAATCTCATTTCAGTTCATAGTCATATAGACAATTCTCAAACTAATTTTCCATTGAAAATATAGTTCATATCAATATACAAAATATAATCTTTAATCACTCATATATCCTTATATGAAGTTAAAATTATATTTCAACATAATATTCATAGTTAATCCCTTCATCAAGCCAATATACTCATATTACATAATCATACACAATTTATCCTTAAATTTGTATATTATGCTCTTTTATTCATTGACAACAATATTTTCATTTAGGCATTATTAATCATTAATAATCCATGAAAATAACATTTAATTACTTTTGGTAATCTTACGAAATTAACCCAAAGATTATAAACAACATAGTCAGCCATCCTCACCTTATGAAGTGCTGAAGTAGTTGTCCTTGTTAAGCCCTTCGATCAATCCCCGTTCTAAACCGTTTGGAGATGAAAAATCTGGGCAGCAGACGAAAGCCGGGCGGCTTTCGTGAAAGGTGGGCGGCTTTCGTGGTCTGCAGCTACGAACAGCCTCCTACACTTGGCGGTTTCCGGCGATTTCAACTCCTATCGATTCCACGACTCTTCTGAGTTAATTACCACCACTTTATAACATTATTCTACACTTTTAAACGTGTATAACTTCATGTTTGATCCATCATATGATTTCTTAAAAATCATACAAAAATAAAGCTAGTTAAAGAACTATATGAGTTCTTACCTCCAATCCTAGCTCTTTCTCCTTGGATTTCGTTTTCTCTTGCTTCCTCCAAGATATGAATGATGTGAAGAGCTTCTCCAGAGCCTCTCTCTCTCTTCTCTTGGTCTTGGGTGGTTCGAACAATGCAAGGGGATGGGGGGTTGTTTTCCTTTCTTCTCAAAGCCAATAATGAGGCAATGAGTCCAAGAATGGGGTGTATGGGTTGTCTCTACCCTTCCCCCTTCAATCAGTCCGCACAAGCCACATTGTGTGGTCCCCCTCCCCTTTTTTTGTGTCAAATTAGTGTGTAGGATATCCCAAGTGGGTGTAGGAAGTCCCGCCCAATTATTCCTGCTATTTCTGGCCGGCCGGGTTAAAATAGCGCTCGGGTTGTCCAAATATTTTTATCAACTTCGGTTGGCATTTTATTGGGCCCCTATAATTATTATGATAACCCAACTAAATATTTGGTAGCCCATTCTCATATAATGGACCCGATATGTAATTTAATTAATCGTGCATTAATTAAATATGCCGATCAATTACACGAATTATATTCGCTAGGAAAATTAAATTACACGTCGAATTTCAAATTCAAGTACATCCGGGTGCGGTGTCACATCTGAAGCCGTTTCTCAATCGTTCGATGTTAATTCAATGCAAGTTTCTCCGGGATCCACTATGTACTGCACACCGGATTGTGACCCTGCTTTTAAACCGCGTGTTGGTATGTTGTTCAACACCTTGGATGATGGTATGAGTTTTTATGATCAATATGCAAAAATTTGTGGCTTTGAAGCACGTAAAAGTAGTCAAAAAAGGGCTCGTGGTGGCGTTATTCTTTGGAAACATATGGTGTGTAATAGGCAGGGCTTCAAAAATGTATCTAAATCTAAGACGGTTGCACCTAACAGTGATTCCTGCAAGATTGTTGATTTAGATAATGAGTGTAGCGGTGAAAACGAAGATTTCATTATTGAAAATGAGTCATGTGAATTTGATGGGTCTGAAAATGAAGAGGAAGCTCACGTTGAAGATTTACCAACTCCTGGCGTATGCGTCGATGACGATAAGAAAACAAGACGCACAGTTTCTAATAGGTGTGATTGCAAAGCACGTGCGGTTTTTAGGCTTGCAGGCATGGATGGATACAAAATTAAATTCTTTGAGGAGAGGCATAATCATTCAATGTCTTCCCCTTCTTCACTGCCTTTTTTGAAGGCCAACAGGAAACTTGACATTGGTCATAAAAAATTTGTCCTTAATTGTGCTAAAGCAAATATCGGCACTATGAAATGCTACCGATTGTATAAGGAAACTGTTGGGGGCTATGCCAATATTGGTGCGACGTCCGTGGATTTTAAGAATTTTAAACGCGACTTGAAGGCTTATTTAGTTGGTGTGGATGCCCAAATTTTGATAGATAAGCTATTCAGAAAGAAAGAGATTTCTTCAACGTTTTCATTTGACTATGACGTTGATGAGAGTGACCAGCTAACACGTGTATTTTGGGCGGATCCAGTCTGCATAAAGAACTATTCGTTATTCGGGGACGTTGTCTCTTTTGATGCTACATATGAGACGAACAGGTTCTGTTTTTTTTAAGTAATTATTGCTTTTATTAACTTCACTTTTTTATTTATATGTATTTTTAAATTCTGTTTTTTTGAATGATGTTACACATTGCAAAAATATTCGTCATGCATATATCTTGGTTATTCAATGCACTTTTGTCTTTTTACTTCACAATGTAGGTATGATATGGTTTTTGCCCCTTTTACTGGCGTTGATAATCATAAAAAGTGCATTACTTTTGGTGTGGGTTTGTTGTCCAAAGAAGATGTTGAATCATATGTTTGGTTATTTCGTTGTTTCTTGAATGCAATGGGTCGGGAACCGAAGTGCATCATAACGGATCAAGACCCATCCATGAAAATTGCTATTCCACAGGTCTTCACCAAATCATGTCACAGATTTTGCATGTGGCATATTATGGAGAAGGTGAGTAAGAAAGTTGGACCGGTTTTGAGTAAAGATTCTAATTTTATGACGGAATTGAATTCTATTGTGTGGAGTCATTATTTGCACCCAACCGAATTTGAATTGAGATGGACCAATTTGATGAAAGAATATGAGCTACTCAATCACAATTGGTTGTCACACATGTTTGAGATTAGGGATTTGTGGATTCCTGCTTATTTCGGTGATATATTTATGGCGGGTATGCTCAGGACTACATCACGTTCTGAGAGTGAAAATAATTTTTTTAATGAATTCACAAATCCTAATTTCAGTTTGGTGGAGTTTTATATGCAGTTTGAGAGTGCAATGGATTCTCAAAGACATAATAGTGCACAATTGACCAAAGTTTCAGAGTCCTCCATTCCCGATTTCAAGACTCCGTTACATATTGAAAGATATGCTTCTTCTGTTTATAATCATTCAATTTTTTATCTCGTTCAGAAGGAAATATGTTGTGCTTGTTTTTCTTGTGCTGTTCTCAGTCTCCATCATGAAGGTTGTGTGTTTACGTATGTCATATCAGATGAACGGGGTTTTAATTTCACAGTTGTGCACAATAGTACTGACGGTTCTACAGTTTGTTCTTGCAAACATTTTGAAAGGAACGGGATATTGTGTCGCCACATTTTTTTTGTGTTGAAAGAGAAGAAGGTCAATGTAATCCCAGATAGATATGTGCTACGTCGATGGTGCAAAGATTCCATTTTAAAGCCCCTTAATGCATTTGAAGCTGGTGTTTTTCAACAGTGTCTTGACACAGAAGAACAAAACCTAGCCATGAAGACATTGTGGTCTGATATTCATTTTTGCGTTGGAATGATTGACCAAAAACCTCAAATGTTTCAGCAGTTTGCAGATGCCATTAAGGTGCAGAAAGATTTACTGTCTACCTCTCAAGGAAATAGTGCATCAGGATCTACAAAAAATGACGTTATCAAAGCCTTTTATGGGTCATCCATTCCTACCCAAGTTAGTGTGCGTCCACCGCAGCAGTCTCGAAATAAGGGTTGCGGTAAGAGGATTAAAGGAGGCAAGGAGAAGGCAATTGAAGTGAGCCAGAAGGCTAAGAGACTATGTAGAAAATGTAATAAAAAAGGGTATCATGACAGTCGAAATTGTCCTTTGAACTCAGAGGAATGATTATTCTTTTTTATTCGTCTTTCACAAGTTGGCCTTTGAGCTTGGAGCAATGTTGCTTTTTTATGACTTGTTATTTTGTATTCGTACAAAATAGAGGTGCTTGGAGAATATTCTTTTCAATTTATTGTTGATTAACACTTTTGGTTTTGTATTATGTAATATCATAAATTACTACCGATTGAGAATTACGTAGTTGTCATAATATCACAAATTAATTGTGCTTGCATCGCTGCTTACCTTTTTTTCCAATGTATAAAAAAAAATAGGCGGTTGCATTGTTATTAACAAACTGTGCATTTGTTGAAACCCAATTGTGCATTATTTTCGTTCAATGAATCGTGTATAGGATATTCTATAGATCACTTTAAATTTACAAGTATAATATTTCATTTTCAAAACATTTAATGCATTTGTACAACCAACTCATGCACTTTGACTCAATTACATAGCCAACCATTACTGCACAAAAGCAAATTATCAATTCCACTAATGCGACGAATGTCTTCATAAATAACAAAATGAAATTCATAGTTTAGCATAAGAACCTATTTCATGTGATAGAAACCACAGAATAGAGGTGCAATTTAGTGCACCTTTTAAAACGACAAATGATTGTAAATCCTTGCAACATAAATAGTAAATTTAGATTGTGACATTGTTATTTCATTCCTACTTCATCATACTACGTGCCTTCCCAACCTCCTTCACGGCATTCAAGTGGTTGTCCTTGACCTCATTAATCTCAGATGTCAAAAGTGCTGCACAATATTTTGATCTTAATGCACTCAGCGCCTTTGTATCGCCTTTCTTCAATCCACATTTCCATCTTACAGTCCCTTCGCCCATGTACGTCTCCATGTGTCTCATGCTCCAAACACCGTAGTCATACACATTGTTCAGTTCCCTCCACCTCATCTTCAATCTTGTCAGCTTCGGTTCATAAAATGTGTTGCGGTCATTATCCATTCCCAATTCGGTCAAGAAGTCAACGAACATGTCCCTCTGTTTTCCATAATTTCAGCACAATGAATATAATTTTTAACCAAAACAATACCGAAAATTTTTAAGGTTTTTGTGCAATTTTTACAAAACTCACCAGGGTGTGTGGCATCTCACCATACTTTTCCTCAAAGTCAATCTCATCGGCAGAGTTATCCAACACCTCGACCTGCTGTTTTTTCATGTTCAAAACCACAACATAACAATGTTGTGATTGCACAATAGGAAAGAAGAACTGCACATTGAAGACAATTAATTAAAAAACGATTATCACTACACTAAAATAAACCTTTTGTGTTTACAATTCTAAATTATATGTACCAGATCAACATCTTGTATGTTTATATCAGGTTTAACTGAATCTAATGCCAGCTCCAGTCCTTGTTTGAAAACTTCGTAAGTATTGTCTTGGGGGATTTGGCCAGACATTGTGTACACCTGCAAAATTGTTTATCAAAATGTGCACTATCATATTAAAGTAGTGCATTGTATATTCACAAAACTTACACAGGGATACGATTTCACAAACAATCTGTATGGTGAAGCATCACTTCGTGATTTCTCAAAATTATTCAAGTGAATTGTCCACGCATCTACCACATTCATGTGCATGTGCATTTTTTCTCCTAGGGTAAGCATGTCACCCCGCGTCACAGAAACCTGTTTATACTTGAATAGAATCTCGCCCCTATTTGTGAACAGAATAATTTAAGAATTATTTGTATGTTCACCAGTAACATTAAAATATTTTTTACTAGAAAGTGTTTTTTAATATTTTTAACCTCTTCTCAGCGCTTTGTTGTGTCACCCATTTCCACATCAACTTTTCACTTGAGCTTGATACCTCATTCGGGTTAACGGTTCGTGTGATATAAGGAGACTTCAAAACGTTAGATTCCTGTCGACTCCTTTGTGATCTCAATTCCAGTGCACTTTTTCCTATAACCAATCCAGTGCTTGTTTCCTTTGTCATATAAATGCAATTTGTAATCATATTTTTTTTATTAATGTAATCATCTTAGTATGCATGATACCACAAAATATAATTAGGCCTACCATATTATGTAATAATATTAAACGTGTACTAACCTCAACCATCTTAGCCTTTCCCTTAACATTCGGACATCTCACATTTTCCTGTACTTGATCCTTTAAAAATATAGTGAATAAACGTAATAATTTTACTTGAAACGAATAATATGATATGCTAAAATTAATAATACCTTATGCACAATACTTTCAGTGGGATTTCCTTCCTTCCCCTTATCTTGCTCAGTTGTCAATTTCCCATTTCCTTGAACCTACATTAAAAGTTAAATTTTTTGCATTATCTTTTTATAACCATTGAATATGTAGTTGAATTTGAGTGTATATTTCTCAGAAATATGCTTAAATTAATAGCATACAATGCATACTGAGTATGACAACATGCACACTTTTATGAAGGCCAGATTTTCATTATAAAGAATACTAAAAAAAACTTTATTTACCCGCACAATACTTTCTGTCCCAACAGCTTCCTCTGCTCTCTCTGTTTCACTTGTCATATTCCGCTCTTCAATTGCTGGACGCAATTCATCCATGCTACTCCATTGCGCTTGTGTTTCCTGTGTCAAACCAATTGAAAAAGAAGGAATGTCTTCAATTGCTTTCTCGTACAAACTCTTTTTTTGATTTTCATTTTCAACCCTCTCCACTGCTGCTATGGTTTCAGCCCAGAAAGCATCATCCTCTCTCTCCTGTGTACTTCTACCATCATTTTCTTCTCTATGGTCAACTGCTCTTTTTCTCTTCCCCACACCAATCAATTGTTCTGCTGCTTCTTGAATCTTTATGAAGTTTTCCTTTTCAATTAAGCTTTTTGGTGCATCTTCAAACATCTTTAGCACATCAATCACAGCTGATGCCAACATTTTGCTTTTATGTGCAAATCTCTTAACATATTCCTGTTTTATTACATTACAGTTAATTTCCCATTCATTTGCACACGTACATACAAATAGATGCTTAATAATTGAAAACACATGCTAAATTTTATTCAAAATTACCTCCTCACTCTCAACAACAACCGTACACTCCACCTCTACTCCATTTCCACTCCCTCCATTTTGTGTGCTGTCGAGAAGCAGTGACACTACAAGAACAATAAAGTGCCTAGAAAACCACTCTCCGCCTTCTTTATGGCTAAGCATTTCTGTACTGACGTCGGATGGGCTGATTTTATATTCATCCTTATCAAATATGCCTTTCCACTCTTCGAGCAATGCACATTCCTCGTTCTTCTTTTTTGGTACTATTTTTCTGCCTCCTATTGGAAATCCCAAAACGTGGGCTACATCCTCTTCCGTTACACGCAACTCACTTCCATTGTGCAGCACCAATGAACATGTCTTCGGGTTGAAGTTATCAACCACCCAAAACCCCAACCTTCCTGGTATTTCACATACTTGAAGATTAAACAGAGCACCAAAACCCATCTTGTGTATCTCCTGCTTTTGTGCAGCAGTCATCACAGAGAGAGCTTTCACAATCATGTTGGGTGATGATCTTGTTCTTATTGTCCTAAACCTGGCCTTGATATCTTTAATGCTCTCTTTCTTTATTTTCTTGCTCTCATTTTTCACTAAGTCAGTTTCAGCTCCACCTTGCCCAGGTTGCACTTCAAAGTCATCATCGCTTTCATTATCATCAACTACTTTCCTCTGCCTCTTCACCCTGCAGGCTTGGTTCTGAGTTGCATCTTTGATAGCTGGTCGCTTACCTTTATTGTTCTTCACCACCTGTAAGGTTTTGTCTGTACTCCCTGTAATATGGAAAATCATGCACTATTCAACACAAAGAATGCTCTCTTCCCCTAACTTAGACACAACTCGTGTTGTACTACATATTATTTTAATCAAATAAGTAAATACCTCATGCACTATATCATTGCATTTATGAACATAATAATTTCACTTCATGCACATTCGAAACAACACATTACAATTAAAACCTTCAATACGGATGTAAGCAGTATACTGTCTGTTTACTAGATTTCCAAAGATTATAGATTTGCTGCACTTATTAATTAAATTTCATTCACAATCACATTCACATAACAATAATATGAATATACAGCAATATATCAAAACACACCTAACTTGTGCACTATACGCCTTTTCTGTCACCCAAACAAGCCTTTTAAGCACCCAATTTATGCACTCAAATAAAAACTTGATGCACTATAATCAATATTTAGATCTAGGACAGAGCAAATTGTGTTCGTCACATATACAACCAGCTCATGCACTATATCATTATATGTATGAACCTATTATGTACTGTTTGTGCAAATTCCAATAAAACGCATCCATAGCAAAACTCATCATTTATAGTTATTCACAAACTTCATCAAAATCGTTTTGTTTAACCATGCATTCAATCCAAAACATCAACTTCTTAAACCAACATAGTTATTCACATAATATTCGCAGGCTATTGCCTTACCTGAAGCACTTTTTCCACTCCCTGATGCACCGTCGTTTTCGTTCGTCGTTGTCATCCTTCTTCTTCGACGGCTTCCTAGGGTTTCGATGCTAGTGCAGGCCTTCCCGGTTGAGTTCGTCGAGCTCTGGTAGTTTCAGAGTAGAAGTCTGCGCAATGAAGCAAGTTTCTCTTTTTTCGAATATCCAGGCACATTAAACGGGATTTCTTTCCATATGGGAACTCGTGCGGCCGAACTGCCATAATTAAGCATCTTAGTCTTTTACCCATTTACCCTTTTATGGGCTTCTTAATGCACGTTTCTTCTTTTTTCATCATCCACGGACGAATCATGTGCGTTTTTAATTGATATAATTCATAATCCCAGCCGCTCGATTGTCAAATTGGATGGTCGGATGGGGTTCTTTTTTACTCTCCTAAGAGGGTGTTCTCACAGGAACTAATCCCTATATGTATATATGTATATATAGAGGAATGTTCATGTCAGGCCGGCCTGACGGGCTGCCCCGTCCGGCCGAGCCCGTTTGGGCACCTTCCCGTTGGAATTTTTTGATGAAATTTTTTGAGCATGTTCCTCATCAAGTCTAGTTTGTCCATACCAAATTTCAGCTCAAAATTCGATCGGGAAGGTTGTCAAATGATTTTTGCAAGTTAACTGGTCTGGAATATGTATTTTCCGGACCAGTTAACTTGCAAAAATCATTTGACGACCTTCC